TGGACAGCGAGGTTGGCGAGATGGCAGTGAGCCACTATCAGTCGCCGCTCGTCAGGAACGTGACGCTGACGGGGCTGGACCGCGAGCGCACGTACCGCTTCTACCTGCGGGCGACCACGGCCACCGGGGAGGGGGAGCCCATCATCCGGGACGCCGCCACCTTGCTGGAAGGAGGTGAGGCGCAGCCGGGCGACGCTGGCCGGACCTGAGACGAGCGCCCGCGGGAATTCACCCCCCTCCCTCTCAATCCCTCTTACCTGCCGCCCTCAGGGCCTCCTGCCAATATCAGCTTCTCTGCGGGCAAGACCTTCGCCAACTTCACCTGGGTGTCGGGGGAGAGGTACCGCAACGTCGGCTTCCACATCCACTTCCTGAACAAGAACGGTGAGAGGGGAGGGAGAGGGACTCCAGTTCGTGGCTGATAATTGTTTTCTTTATTAATCCCGGCACTGAAGTGACCCGGGCCCCCATCGTCGCTCAGCTGGTTCAATTTGCGGACCTGAGAGCAGGCTGAGCTTGGCGACTTGCGGGTTCGAGCCAGGGTCAAGTCACTGGCCGGGTGTGACCGGGACACCCTGCGCAGGGGCGCTCAGTCAGAGGGCTCCCTCGGTGACACACCGACCCCTGCAGGCAGAGCTGTGGCTAACTTATAGACCTCTCCTTCAGTCTCCTCCTATCAGAGCTGATCCTCCAATAGGGGGTGGTGCTGTGGGTGAGGGACAAGCCTTTCCACCAATCAGAACTGATCCTCCAGTGGAGGGGGCGGTGTTAACAGATGGGTAGGTGGGAGGAGTCTGACTTCCTTGTTGCCCCCTACGTAAGGTCATGAGGGTCACGTGTGAGAGCCGACACGCGGATGTAACAAAAATAACTGGGGACTTTAAACTTGGTTTAAAAATGTAAGCGGTCTGTGCATTCAGGCAAGGTGCTTCGCTAAAAGGGGAGTGGGAGGGGCGCTGAATCTTCACTGCGCTTTGGGAAAATCTTTGATTTTCAAGCCTTAATGTTTTACGGCTGTGCTCTTAAATGCAAAGGCTGAGACCTGTGTTTGGGACACTTTAAACAGAGGGGTAAGCTAGCGCAAGCCCTGTGTGCTCTGTGGCGGAGCTCTGCGCGCACCTGAGCGGCGTGTGGGAGCAGCAGCCGGTGAGCACGTCCAACTGTCGTTGTTGTGCAGGTCAGGACCCGTGGAAGGTGTCGGAGAAGGTGAACTCCAGCCAGGCCTTCTACCAGCTGCAGGGGCTGCACCCTGGCTCCCAGTACCGACTGAAGTTCATCTCCCGCAACGACACCTTCTGGGAGACGGAGATCCAGACGGAGGGGCCTGGTGAGACTGCCGCGCGGGCAACGCGTCGGCCAGATCGGTGCATGAGTAAATCGTGACAGGAGAGGACCAGGCCGTGCTGTGTCACTGGCCAGCGGGACCAGGATTCCCACAGGGCAGTGCAGCCAGAGCACATGGAGCCACACGCAGGCTCGTAGGGACGTCAGCGTGGGCCCCAGTCAGCACACGCTCGTGCCAGGGTGATCCGCGCTCCGCAATCCACCCCTCTCCCCCGCCAGCCTGGGGGCAGGAGGACCGAGGGCTGGGCGTGCCTTCCTCCAAGACACACGCCTGTCGGAGCCCTTCGCCGGTTTTCACCACCTGGGGGTAGCGCTGCGGCTCCCGCTGACGGCGCTGCAAGGCGCGAGCGCGTCACAAGGGGGCGCAGTCTCTGGACACCCTCACAGCCGTGCTCAGCCCATGCCTGATCATGGTGATGTGCCGGCGCACTCCAGACTCACTGCAGCAGTGGCCCACACTCCACAGGGGCGCTGAGAGAGCAGCCACAGTCTGCCCAGGTCAAGCACGGAGAAGAGTGGGGCCGCACTCGGCTGTCTGAGTCCCCCAGTAACTTCCTGCTGCCTCGGACCAGCCAGACCCATACTGCCAGAACACAGTGGTTCCATGCTACAACTGTATTAAAAGATGCCTAGAATGTGGTCTTCCTGTATATACAGTTTCTCCGTTCCTCTCTCTAATAGTGTTGAGACTCCATGATGTTAAGAGATTGACTCTTTCTCTCTCCTTCCCCTCCTCTCCCTCAGGGCCCCTGGAGGAACGTGGGGGCTTTGCGACTCAGGGCTGGTTCATTGGGCTCATTAGCGCCATTGTGCTGCTTCTGCTTGTTCTGCTGATCCTCTGTTTCATTAAGAGGAGCAAAGGGGGCAAGTACTCAGGTACACAGCCACATGACATTGACACAGACCTGACAGAGCCACACGGCATGATACAGACTCAAGGTACTGTCACAGCACTGATACAGCCACACAGCATGATACAGACTCAAGGTACTGTCACAGCACTGATACAGCCACAAGTTACTGACACAGCTACATGACACTGGCACAGTACTGGCGCATAGTGACACAGCCACATGTTGACACCGACAAAGATAGATATGACACAGACACAACACTGATACCACCACACAGCACTGACTCTACAGACTCTGACCTTGTCTGTTCTCTGTCTGCAGTGAAGGACAAGGAAGAGGCCCATGTGGACTCAGAAGCTCGACCCATGAAGGATGAGACGTTTGGGGAGTACAGGTGAGACTGGCTATTATACCACTGAGCTCTGTGCTTACAGGCCTGTAGTTGGCCTAACCAGGTTCCAGCTAGCTTTGTACTGAGCGTGTGCAGGCAGTGGGGTCCTCAGGCCCCACCCATGAGCTTGGCTGAGCACTGTGATTGGCTGAGCCAGGCTCCAGCTGCATGTGTACTGAGCGTGTGCAGGCAGTAGGGTCCTCGGTTTCCACCCATGAGAGTTTTCAGCAACCACCCTAGTGAGTTTTCTGTCACAGCTGCTGCTCAGGACACAGAATGGGGCTCTAGAAGTTGATGGCTAAGGGTATTTTTTTTTAATACTGCTTTTTCTAACATCATAGCATCAGTTCATGTCTAACTGTTTTAATGCTCTTGTTTTACTAACATCGCTTTGTCTCCCTCGCACCCTTGTTCACTGGCTCTTGCTCTTGTTCACAACGCTGTTCCTCTGGGTGGCAGATCCCTGGAGAGGTATGCAATGTGTTGCCTGCCTGTCACCATGTCAACTATGACTTTTACAAGGGGTGATTGTATGTGGTGTGTTAGTGCTCAGCAGTGTGTGTATTAACCCCTCTGTCTCAGTGCAGTGTGTG